TATTATAACTCCTGTTATACCCAGAAAGTATTAATAGTTAACATTGTTTCTTACTCATTAGCATTTGGAGATACTACTTTCTTATGGCATGTATTTGATAAACTATGAAGACATTTCAGCAGTCTTTCAAAAAATATTTCAAAATGTATTTACTTGAGAGACCGAGAAACAAAGAGACAAAGACACACACACAGAGGGATTACTGGCTGTTTAACTCCCAGATGCTCTCAGCAGCCAGGGCTGAGCCAGAGCCAGGGAATAGGATCACCATTTGGGCTAGGAACGCCAGACTGGGGGGAGGAACTCAATTACTGGATTCATCACTGCTCTCTGACATCAGCAGGGAAGCTGGAGTCAAGAGCCAAAGCCAAGAATTGAACTCGGGTACTCAGATGTAGAATGTTTTTTTTTCTTTTTTCTTTTATTTCCTTGAAAGTCAGCGTTATGAAAAGGGAGAAAAGAGAGGAAGAGAGGGAGGTTGAGAGAAAGAGAGAGAGAGAGAGAGAGAGAGAGGGTCTTCATCTGCTGGTTCACTCCTCAGATGACACTAATGGCTAGGACTGAAGCCAAAAACAAGGAGTTTCATCTGGATCTCCTACGTGGGTGCAGGGGCCCAAGCACCCAGGCCATATTCCGGTGCTTTTCTCAGGCCATCAACAGGGATTTGGATTGGAAATGGAGCAGCTGGGACATGAACCTGGACGCCTATGGGGTGCCAGTGTGGCAGGCGGTTGCTTGACTGCTACACAACTCCTTTCCCTTGGGATATGACTTCTTAAACATCAGTTTTAACACTTGCTCTCTAAAGTTATGTTTAATCTAGTGTTTCCTAACAGGGAAAATTTTAAAATCTGATCCAGGAACCATACCTTTCTTTGTGGAAAATAAATTCCCCTAAATAATATGTTTTTCATAAAAAGCAGGCAGTTTCCTTTAAAAATGTGATTAGGTTGCTCCACTCCACATTCAGCTCACTGTTTGTGGCCTGGGAAAGCAGCAGAGGATGACTCAGTGTTAGGGCCTCTGCACCCAAAAGAACACTCCTGGCTCCTGGCTTTGGATCAGCTCAATTCTGGTATTTGTGGACATTTGGGGAGTGAACCAGTGGACGGAGGATTTTTTCTGTCTCCACAAGTTTGATCTTCCTTTCCAATAAATCTTGAAAAAAATGGGATTTAGGGAAGGCATTGTGGTGCAGTTCGTTAAAACTCCACTTGGAACATCCCAACACTGTATCAGAGTACCAGGTATTAAATCCTGCATCACTTGCAATTAAACTTCATGCTAATTCTTCTGTGAGGCAGCAAATGATGGCTCAAGATTTTGGGTTCCTGCCACCCAGATGGAATTCACAGTGGAGTTTCTATCTCGATGACTTAAGCCTGGCCCGGCTCCTGCTGCAGCAGATATCAGAGGAGTGAACCAGTAGGTGGAAGAGCGCCTTCTTTCTGTCACTCCCCTCCTCACTCTATTATTCTGCCTTCGAAATAAATAAATCTTTAAAATACTAGTATACTGCAAAGTATAGCAATTATGCTTTGAAAAGGCATGGCTTTCCCCCCTGTTTTCGATTTGTTCTTTTTTTCACATGTTATAGTTATATATTTTGCCATGTAGTAGTTTTAAATTTTTGATTACTAAGGTTTATTAATATTTTATGACTTCTGAGTTTTAAGTGACAATTAAAAAGGCCTTTCTGTACCAAAGTAAGAAGAAAATTCACCCATATTTTCTTACAGTGCATTTGTACATTCATTTTATATTTAAATCTTTGATAGATTTAGAATTTATCCTTATGTAAAATAGATACATATTTCAGTTTATTTTTTATAAGTGATATCCACTTTTGAAAGAGTCTCATGAAGCTGATTTGAGCTTCTGCTTATTTGAGTCTATTTCTGGACTTCTTATCCAATTTATTATTTTATCTACCTCTATGGAACCCCCAAAGTCCTTACTAATACAGGTTCTGTACTATTTTTTAATAAATAGAGGATTGCCTCCTTCACTGATTTGATTATTGTTTATCTTTCTGGATGGACCTCAGAATTAGCTTGTCCTATTTCAGAACATTGCCTCTTGACATTTTCATTTTAATGTAATAGATTTAAAAATAAAAATGTAGCGAGAATAACCAAACATTGACTTTAAGTATCAAAGAACAAGATTTGACTTTCCATTTGTTCAAATTCACTTTTTGGTCCTGAAGGTGTATTTTAAAGTTTTATTCAGGTAAGTTTTGCATATTACTTATTAAATTTCTTTCTAGGTGCTTTTTGTTGCAATTTTAAGTAGGATCTTTCATTTTGTAAAGAAGTATTATGTGTGTGTACACATACATAAACACATTAACATAATTTTGGAAATTTAAGTTTATATCATAATCCCATAGTTAGTTTTGGTTTCTATATTGCATGTATATTTTTCCATTAAAAATATTTATTTTTGTCAGAAAGGCATATTTTCAGAGAGAAGGAGAGACAAAAAGAAAGATCTTCTATCTGCTGGTTCACTCCTGAAATAGCTGCAATGGCCAGAGCTGAGCCTGTCAAGGGGCAAGGAGCTTCCTGTGTATTTCCAATGTGGGTGCAAGGTCTCAAGGCTGTGAAGCATCCTTGACTGATTTTGCAGGCCACAGGCAGGGAGCTGGTTGGGACGTGAAGCAGCCAGGACATGAATTGGCACCCTTATGGGATGCTGGAGCTTTCAAGGGGAGGATTAGCCAATTGAGCCATCACTTTGATATGTTTTTTTTTAAATGTTTATATGTTGATTTGAAACTATGTTTCAGTACTTTTCCAAGCAGACAATCACATTATCTGCAAGTACTGACAATTTTACAGTCTTTTTCTAGTAGTTATCTCTTCTTTGCTTTCTCTCTTGCATCTAGTTCCCTTAACTGATAACTTCTAGCACCACTGTAGATTAATAGTGGCAGAAAGGGAGTCTCCTTTGTCACCAAAACCCTCTAGTGTTTCCTTATTAAACTTGAAGCTTTGATTCTTCTATTTAATTTTCAGTCAGACATTACTATCTTGCTTCAGTTAAATCACTGAAGATTTGGTTCAATGATAGGATTCCTAAATGTCCAGCAGAAAAGGATTGGTGAAATACAGTATGGCAGATGCATTGAATGGAATGATCAGAGCAATTATAAAATATTATGCACTGTTTTAATTATTTTTGTTGCTAAAACTCCTAATGTATATGTGAGAAAAATATTAGAGTGGATATTTAGTAAATAATATAAAATTGTAAAAATATACTCTGGTGATTAATAATATAAACATTAACATTTTTTAAAAAGATTTGTTTATTTTCAGTGCAAAGTTAAAGAGAGAAGGAGAGACAGAGAGAGAAAGATCTTCCATCCATTGGTTCACTCCCCAGATGTCTGCAATGGCTAGACCTAAGGTGATCTGAAGCCAGGAGCTGGGAGTCTGCTCCAGCTCTCCCATGTGAGTGCTAGGACCCAAAGACTTAGGCCTTCCACTACTGCTTTTCCAGGCCACAAACAGGGAATTGGGTCAGAAGTGGAACAGCCAGGATAGGAACCGGTGCCGATTTGAAATGCCAGTGCTTGTAAGTAGAAGATTTTAGCCTTTTGAGCTACATTACTGGCCCCTGAGTACATACAGTTTTAAAATAAACCAATGATAAAATTTTGGTACAATTAAAAATAGGTTAAAAATTTTTTTAAGATGGAATTTTTCCTTTCTTCTAGATTCCTTCCTTTTTTTATTTGTTTTTATGACACAAAAATAATATTCTCCTATTTAAACATCATAAAATCTGTTTATTACTCAATTCCAAATGGACTAACATGATATTGTAGAAGGAAGTTTGCAGGGCCTGGTGCAGTAGTCTAGTAACTAAAATCCTTGTCTTGCATTCTCTGGGATCCCATATGGGTGCTGGTCTACTGCTGGCCACCCCACTTCCCATCCAGCTGCCTACTTGTGGCCTGGGAAAGCCATGGAGGAGAGCCCAAAGCCTTGGGATCTTGCACCCACGTGGGAGACATGGAAATGGCTCCTTGCTCCTGGCTTCGGATCAGCTCAACTCCAGCCATTGCGACCACTTGGAGTGAATCAGCAGATGGAAGATCTTCTCTGTCTTTCCTCCTCTCTGTATATCTGACTTTCCAATAAAAATAAATAAATCTTAAAAAAAAAGTTTGCAGGTGCCAGCTCTGTGGTATAGCAGGTTAAGTTACACTTCTAATCCAGTACCACATTAATGAGCCTGGGACAACAGCTGGCTAGCTTCTGCATGCCCCAATCCTGGCTGGTGGGACCATCTGGACAGTGAACCAGCAGATGGAAGTTTCTCTCTGTCTTCCCTCCCCTTTGTAATTCTGATTTTCTTTTTTTTTTTAATTATTATTTTTTTATTGGAAAGGTAGATATACAGAGAGGAGAGACAGAGAGGAAGATCTTCCGTCCGATGATTCACTCCCCAAGTGAGCGCAACGGCCGATACTATGCCAATCCGAAGCCAGGAGCCTCTTCTGGGTCTCCCACGCGGGTTCAGGGTCCCAAAGCTTTGGGCTGTCCTCTGCTGCTTTCCCAGGCCACAGGCAGGGAGCTGGAAGGGAAGCGGGGCTGCCGGGATAGAACCGGTGCCCATATGGGATCCCGGGCGTGCAAGGCGAGGACCTTAACCACTTGCGCTACCGCGCCGGGCCCGTAATTCTGATTTTCAAACTTCCCTTCCCTCTGTAACTCTGACTTTCAAGTAAATAAATTCATCTTTATCTTGAAAACAATGAGACAGCGAGAAAGTCACAAGGAAAATGAGAATAATTGGTTCTATTTAGTAGATTAAAAATTATGGGAACTCACAGTTCATTAAGCAAATTTGCTTTCTTAGTTTTTTTTTCTTTTTTGCATTTTTTCCGAAGTACAAAGAAAAATTTACAGCTTTCAAACATTTTGGAAGCTATCTGTTAGATGAAGTAGTAGATGACTTGTGGAAGAGGGAATAATCCAAGTGCTAGCGTGGGCGTGGCACTTTATTGTTAAAGGCAGGGCTCTTAGGCGGACAGTTAGCAAGAGAGTTGTTCACCACCAAGCTCTTGGGCACCTGGCTGGTGCCTTCCCCACCTCAGACATCCAACTGTGTTCATGCATTCCATCATCAATATAATCTCTCCATGAAGTCCAAAGTTTCCTTTCATATTGTTTGATAGAGAGTTCCTATGGGGGAAATGGGATACTAGCCAGGAAATGAGAAAGAGTTGTTGGGAATAAAAGGTTTGGTTGAAGGAGAAGCTCGAGTATGAAATTAGATGAAATTTAAGAATTCTCCTGGCCCAGGATTTCTCAATTGCAGTAACTGACATTCAGAGCTGGCATTTTTTTTTTTTTTTTTGTGGGAGGCTGTCATATGCTTCCAATGATTAACAGAATATCTGGCCTCTATTCACTAGATGCCAATACAACCCCGTTTCCCTGAGGTGGCAGCCAAGAATATCTCTAGACATTGCCACATGTCCCTCAGGTCAGAGGAATCAGCTCTGTGTCACCACTCCCTGCATTGTGTACCTCTATCTCAATAGAAAAAGGAGAAGCAGATCTCATCAACAGGGTAAAAGCATGATAAATGTAAAGAACAGTAAGAGATATTCCTGTATCCGTTCAACAAGAGTTCACAAAGAATGAGCAAAGAAATGAGAAGGAAGAAATGGGTAAATAATTTTCAAAAATGAAGAGAAGATCAAAAGGACCTTTCTTGTCCAGCACAATCACAGCAAAAAGGACCCATTCTAAGACACATCATTGTGTAGTTCCAGATGACTAGGTATAAAGGGAACATTCTAGAAGGTAAAACAAACCAGACACTGAGTGAGAGCCAGAATGGCATTAAAAGCACTAGTGTTGTGGTGCCATGACAAGATGGTAATGAATAATGTCTAACACTGAAAACCAAGGCTCATTGGGATATCATTTAGGAAATAAAGAACCCATAGCAGGGTTGTGTGTGAGACTCAGAATGGAGATAAGTGAGGAAAACTGGTTCACTCTGCATATGCCTGCAGTGGCTAGGGCTGAGGCAGGCAGAAAACAAGAGCTTGGAACTCGATCTGGGTCTCCCAAATGCATGGCAGGAATTCAAGCTCTGGGCCATATTCTGTTGCCTTCCCAGCAGCATTGGCAGGCAACTGGATAGAAAGTGGAGCAGTTTAAACTCCAGCTATATTTTCTATTGGAATACCAGCATCACAGCTATGTGCCACAATGCCATCTCCTGAAAAGTGTTGGAATGCCAACCCAGGAAAAAGAGCTGCTTTGGGGTTAATCTATTTTTGACTGACTTAATTTTTGATGAAAATGTTTGGGGTTATTTAGGTTATAAATTCACAACACAGTTGAGAACTGAGGCACTTTTGAAAACCATTTATAATTATCTTGTTATTTTAGAAAAAAATGATGTTTTTAATCTCAGGTTCCAAACAAGTATCTCTATTTAGAAGCTGAAGAAGTTTGGAAACAAATTCATCAGTAAAAAATTGCTTCCTATAAAGATTTCTTGTACCTTTAAAAAACCATAGATGAATAATATGTCTGCACATTGCATGCTTTCAATGAGTGAAAGTACAACTCAGCCTTTACACTTCACATTTAAAGTGCAGATAAAAGTCACAAATACTGAATTTGAAAAAAGTATTCTTGAAAAGTAAATATAAGGACTTAATAGATGTGCTTCAAGAAATTAAGCTCCATTAAAAATATATATATATATATATATGGCCTGGCTTCATGGCTTAGTGGCTAAAGTCCTTGCCTTGCATGTGCCAGGATCCCATATGGGTGCTGTTTTGTATCCCAGCTGCCTCACTTTCCATCAGCACCCTGCTGTGACCTGGGAAAGCAGTGGAGGATGGCCCAAAACCTTGGCACCCTGCACTCGTGTGGGAGACCCAGAAGAAGCTCCTGGCTCCAGAATGGCTCAGCCCCAGCTATTGTAGCCACTTGGGGAGTGAATCAGCAGAAGGAAGATCTTTCTCTTTCTTCTCTTTATGTATCTGTGTTTGTACCATGGAATAATAAATTAATTTAAAAATACATATAGCTTATACAGCCATTACCCTCACAAGGATGCTGAATGTTAAAAGTTTCAACATTTTTTTTTAAAGTTTCCACATTTAGCCACTATGTACTGACTTCCTTTAGTAGTCTCAGGCCACTGCCCTGAAGCATTCCCTTATATTCTGTTGAATTTTAAACATGATCTTACCCATCTGGCTTTGTTCACTACAGAGGTGAGATTCCTCTTCTCTGCCTTGGCTTACAGCTCTTGGTGTTAGAGACTTATGCCTAGCAAAGATAATGGTGGTGCACTTATCGGGCTAGAACAGAACTATGGTTAGCCAGCAGAGGCCAGCATAGCAGAGTGCCCGCGGGAGGCAGTCCTGATGCAGAGACCTGAAATGAGATCTGTGCTCCGGGCTGACCCAGATGGTGGATGTCTACACACGCAACCAACCACCTGGCCCCAGAGGGTTATGAAACAGCTGTTGTGAGCGTGGAAAGCAACCACAGGGCAAACCAGCGCTCTCAGGTACTCCCGCGGCTATGAAGCAACTGTGATGAAACAGATTGTGGTCAAAGAGCACGGGCGTCCTGGTATAGGCTGAGAATCTTGGGCAGAAGAGAGGGAACATGCCCTCGGAGCCCAGCAGCACTTCTTTCCCTGCCCGCTGTGCATGTCTCTGTCCCTCTGGAGTGGCACAGGTTTTATCTTTTACAGGTCAGTCCGAGGTCCTTTTGTCAAGACGCGGGTCTTCAGAGGTAACTATGAATCGTTATTTCCATTTAATAGCTAGCTAAGCAAATAACTTGCAGTGGCTCAGTGAGCTTAAGTCAAACAGCTCTAATAGAATTTCAAGGATCTGATTTCAGTTCTTCTGCTTTCCCCCTAAAAATGGACAAGCTGTGTTTTTGTGGTCCAGATACACAGCAGATACGTGTTTGCACGTACGCATTAGGTCACCTATGTTAGTGCTACTGATATTTCTGGCAAAAAAACAGAAAAAAAGCCCACCTGTCTTACATTATTAATAGTGGTGTTTGCAAATTATTTATTTGGAAACTATCTCTTTCAAAAAAGAAAAAGACTTGCGATTGCCTCTTGCGAATTATAATGGCCTGAATACATCTTTTTGTGATTTTTATTTTATCCCAATCAATGCTAACTGGTCGATCCAGAACCCTTGGTAGGTTTTCGCTTCTGTATGTAACAAGTCAGGAGATGTATTTTATCGCAAACTTCGTGTGCTGGGACATTTTGGGATTCAGCCAGCACCCAAAATTCCCAGTCCTACTTCCACACCTCGACAGCAGAGGGTGATTTTTTGGGATTCCGGAGGAGGCTTCTAGGAGAGCACACGCCTTTTCCACACTCGCCCCCCTACCCAGCCTGTAACGCACCTGCAGTCACGAAGGAGAACCGGGCGGGACTCGACTTCGGCCACGTCAGATGTGGCAACAAAAGTCAGCAGTTGCCCTTTCATCTCGTTTTTGGTGACTTAAGACACGCAGCGCCTCCACATGCTGTTTGGGTGCTGAAAAAACAATGTAAATTCTTGGGCTAAAAGGGGGTTTTGGTTACGTGGCGAGCCCAGGTAGGCACCGCTGCGGGGGTCGACTCGGACGGCTCACCCCACTTGTGAGCGTATTACTTGCTTAAGAAAAGTCCGGGGACCCGAGGCTGTATCCCTGGTCTTCCAGGATCCCACTGCAAACCACCTCGCATATTGGCCCCTTTGAGCCCTTCCCGGAACTCCGGCTCCAGCACCCGAAGGTCGGCCCCGCAGCCCCGCCCACTTGGCCGGGGGTCGGACGCACGGAGCCGGAGCCGGAGCAGCCGCGGTCCCTTTAAGGAGCCGCTCTGCGGTAACCCGAGCCCGCAGTCCGGGCGGCGCGGCGGCCGGGGAGGTAGCTGAAGCCTCCTCCAGTGCTCCTCCAAGCGGCCCGGAGCCCGCGGCGTCCCTGGCTCCCGCGAGCATCTCGTGGGGGTGGTTCTGGCAGGCGCCAGCCCTGGGGCCGGGTTGGATGACCAGGCGCCTGTAACCACCCGCGGTCCTTTCCCGGCCAGGCGCAGCCGCCGCCGCCCGCGCGCGAGTCGCCCCGGGGACCCGGCACAGGTGACGCCGTCTGCTCGGGGGGCTTGGGGAGGAGGGCGGGCGCGCGTAGCCCAGCCGAGCGCCGCCGGCGGGCAGGAGCGCTGCGGCTTCCCGGCCCTGGCCTAGCGCGGCCGAGGGCTCCGGCAGCGGGCGCTGGGTGGGCGTCCCGCGCGCGGGTGGCGGCAGGGCTCCGGGACGGGCTCCAGCAGGTGTGCGCGGCGGGCGCAGCATCCTCCCTGCCCGGCGGGTCTCTCAGCTACTCCTGGAGCAGGTGGTGTCCCGGCCCCGCGGCCCCTGCGTTCCTCTAGCGTTTCCCGGCTGCGCGATTCTAGCGACCCTGGCTGGCTGGCAGCTTCTGTCTGATCTCTAAACGGGGTGGGTACAAGCCTTTGGGCATCCAGGGAACGCTTGCTTGCTGAGAGACTGGCACACAGTTGGGTGTATCAATTGGGTAAGTCCCTTTCTCCACCTCCCCCCACCCGCCCCTCCACCTCTGCCTTCTCAAACAAGTAGCTTTTATTTACCCTTGTAGTTCTCAAGTGGGTCCCATTTTTAGCCTCTGGAGTCTAGTGGGAGAGATACTGGGCACAGAGTCAGAGGGAGAACTCGGTTTCTATTTGCAGCTCTGTCATTGTAAGCCCTGGCAAGTTTTAGGAAACTCAGTACCTCGGTTTACCCAGCTGTGAAATGGGTTGCATAATATCAGCTTTTTCCCATTGTCCCCAAACTTGCTGTGGTGGCATTTTGATTTGTCCCAGTTTATTCCAGAGACACTCAGTCCTGTCTCTGTCTCTCTCCCACCCCCACACCCACTCCCGCTTTAAATTGTACACACTTAAGCATTGCTCTTGGGGTATGTGGTAGGATGTCCTGGAGTGATCCTTGACTGTCTGCAGTCTAATCCATATTCCATTTGGGGGGCAAGATAGAAGAGGCTGGGTGTATGCATGAGAATGATGTGCAAGGTAAAACAATGATTGTCATGTTAGAATGTCTTCATGGTCAAGGGGAGAGTTGAGAAAAATGGATCTGGGGTGGTGGTGGTCTTTTGCCCCAGGCTGCCAGGTCAGCCCCGGGTATAGGTTGTACTGCAGCTTCACCTCACTGGGTTACTGGAATCGAGTTGCCCTTTCAGTGTGTCTCAGGCAGAGGACTTCTCCCCTTGCGAGTGCTGACTTTCCTCCAGTCTTGTGGGTGAAGCTGAATTCCAAGCCTGCACTCCTGCCATCTTGGAACATTGGCGAGACTCAGTGGTGGAACCATGCGTGTTAGTGCCTGTGTTCTTGGGACTCAGAAGCTCACGTGTTCGGGGTTGTTTTCCTTCTCCTTGCCCCTGTGGCTTCTTTCCCCGCATGCCTTCCCTCCACAGCGTGGACCTCTCCTGGTGTGGTCTTCTGAGCTCTACCTATCTTGGCTGTTTGCCTGGGACTCAGCTGCTCAGTCAGTCATGCCTGCTTTCGGGTTAACTTTCTGTTTCTGTTCATTTCAGTCTACACACTCTTGACCCTAATGGAAAAAAAGAGTGGCCTTTGGGTTTCAAAGCTCCGTGCTTGGAGATGAGTAGAATGGCAGAAATCAAGAGACTGAGGGTGGGTTGCCCACTCTGAAGAGGCTGGCTCTTCTCTAGGTCTGTTCGACAGATCCTGGGGAAGCCATGCAAAGCAGCCTTCTTTTTTTGAAATCTCCATGGTGGGGGGGAGGAGGGAAGAGTCATTTGATGGCTTCAACGGACGTTTTGGGAGCAGGGAGCCATCAGAAGCATGGTACCAGAGTGATGGGGAGCATTTCCATCCAAGGGCCTGGAGAGGGCATGAACGTCGGGAGTCTCATAGCATGGCAGGCCATTCCGTGTTGCCAGATAGCAAACTGACTAGCTATGTGGTAACCGGAGGCCTGGATTCAGGGTTGGGAAAGGGAGGAATGGGCTGGGTTGCAAAAAGGAGTGGCACAGCTTCAGGGCACGTTCTCCAAGGTCTGGAGGTTTAATTGACCTGTCTCTCTCTTTTCCTCTGTGAGTGTCTTTGCCCCGTGTAGCCAAGCATAGTTGTTCACAGTTCTCAGAGCTGTTCCCTGTACTCCCCCATGCTCGTCCTCCTCTCCCCATGCAGCCTCACCTTTGTTACACACCCTGACCTGGCTGTCCAAACAAACGTCCCCTCTCCTACAGATTAAGGGCTCCCATAGGCTCCAGTGTCTTCCAGAAGGTTAAAAAGTGGGAGACTTGGCTTGAGAAGAGGAAATCTAGCAGTCTACACCAAGATATGGCAAACTGTAGTTTTTCAGTTAAGGAAGATAATGACTGGATTGTCTAGAGGAGCACTGTGGGTAATTTGGACAAGGGAGGACAAGGCCGGGGATGGCCTTGTGCTGGACAGCTTGTGCCATCCTTGAGCAAGGAGAGGATGCCACCCGGCTCGTGTGGAGATACCTTCTAGCGCTCTCCCTTCTTCTCTTTGGCTGGTGAGAGGAAGAAGACTGTCTGATGGAGGCGGGGCAGCCATCTGTTCCCAAGGAAGGGAAAGAGGCTAACCGAGCCTTTAGGATGAACTGTGTTTACCTGGCGTTAGTACCAGCCACCAGAGTGTTACTCCAGGGAAGGCATTACATCAGGAAAGTGAGGCTAATTTTATCAGGGAAGTGACCCTGGTTGCATTTTTTTTCCCCTTATTGGGGATGAAAGAGTGTACACAAAGAAACTGTCCTGCTGTTCCAAGGCTTGTTACTCCTAGTGAGACAGCTGGATGTGCTTCCCAGACCTGAAAAGGCAGGGCAAGGCAGGGAGAGCAAAGGATATGTCTTTGCTCAGAACATTGGTCTGTTCAAGAAGGCAGGCCTACGGATGCAAGAGGAGGGAGCTTGTGAATCAATGTGTAACACCAAGGGTTTTTGAAAATAGCCCATGAAGAAGACAGCTGGAAGTCTGTTCTAAGCCTGAGCCTGCCTGGAGGAAAGGAGTTGCTGAACAATGGGAGCAGTATCTTGGGAGAGTCTGACCAGATGAACAAAGGCTTGTCTAAAAGCAGTGTTCTTGAATATTGTGGGATTACAGCTACAGAATGACTTTTTACATTGAGACCCAGAACAGAAGTCAGTAATGTGTTTCTGAAGCATTTTAATTTCTACTGTATTCTCATTTTGTATTCATAAGGGCTCAGATCTTTAGTGAGTGGAAAAGCAGGTTGCAGTGCAGCAGGCTGGCCGGGGCGTTGGAGAGACACTCAAGGAAGCAGAAAGAGCATGGAGTTGGTTGAATATAGTCTTGTGGGGACAAAAAGAGTTGTAAGAACTCATTTGATGTCTCATGGAAGCAGGACTCGGAAGATGAAAGACGACTGGGTGGGGCAGATGCAAAGAAAGTGTGTTCACCAATCCTAGCCACTTCAAAGTGATTTATGCAAAGAGGAAGTGCGGAAAGTTGGGAATTTGGACTTGAAGCTTTCTGTTGAATAGTAGATCTTCCTCTGTAGTTTACACAAGAAGACAAACGGATCCAAAAGAAATTGGCTAGTGAGTGCAAGGCAGGTCCACTGGAGTAGACTGGCAGGGGGCGGAGGGACTCATTGTGTGGAGTGCTATCCTTCCCTTCCAGCTTGGAGAGGTTTGAGTACAAGTAGATGGAACACATTCCTTGGAAATCCCATTTGCTGATCAAACTTACTAGAAAGTTAGCGATTTGCTTCACAGAGAATTGGGAACATATTTAAATTCCCTCTTGTAAAGGGAATAGTCTATGAAGTCTTCCATAGAAGTTCCGTTTCATTCTCTGTCATTAAACACTCAAAGATAGTCTGTCTCTGGGTTTTTGCTTCCTTTTTTATTTTTATTTTTTTAAAAAATATTTTATTTTTTATTAGAAAGTCAGCTATATAGGGAGGAGAAGAGACAGAGAGAAAGATCGGATTCCGTCCATTGATTCACTCCCCAAGTGACCACAATGGCTGGAGTTGCTCCAATCCAAAACCTGGAACCTGGAGCCTCTTCTGGGTTTTCCACATGGGTGCAGGGTCCCAAGGCTTTGGACCATTCTTGACTGCTTTTCCAGGCCACAAGCAGGGAGCTGGATGGGAAGTGGGAGTGCCGGGATTAGAATTGGTGTCCATATAAGATCCTGGCACATCCAAGGCGAAGACTTTAGTCAATAGGCTACCACACTGGGCCCTTTTGTTTCCTTTTTTTTGGTAACAACTGAAATTTGTCTGCAACACCTGACACTTCTCCAATACTGAAAAGAAGCCTGGAGAAAAATTGCATAGGTGTCTGAGTTCACCCAGTGTTGCTTGGCTATACTGCTTGCCTCTCCAAGTGACGCTCTGCCTGGCTGGAGCCTCCCTCATCCTAGCCTTGTCTGGTTAGCTGGTGTTTCCCCAAAGTTTGAATTCACTCTTTGTTACCTAACTTGTGTTTATTTTTCAATGTTAATTTCTCTGTTATTGCTGACCCTGATTGGGATGAAAAATATTGCCATGGAGCCCAATTTTGGAACACAGAGGAATTATCTTGGTCAAGTTAACTATTCTTTTTGGTTTATTTGAAGGGCATAGATATATATCTGTATATCTGTACATTTATATATATCTGTATATATATTTGTGTGTGTGTATATATATATCATGCATATTCCCAGTGTTGTACTGTAAGGGC